TCTATTCTTGGCATTCTTTTTTTTTTTTTTTTTTTTTTTTTAGAATTTTTTAAATATTTATTTTTTTTAGTTTCGGCAGACACAACATCTTTGTATGTGGTGCTGAGGATCGAACCCGGGCCGCACACATGCCAGGCGAGCAGGCTACCACTTGAGCCATGTCCCCAGCCCCATATTCTTGGCATTCTTGAGTCCTCTTGAACCCCAGTAACATGAATATTGTTTTCATTTAATGCTATCCTATAAGCTTTGTTCATTCTTCTTTTTCTCTCTTGATTGATTATATTCAAATAGCCTGTTTCAAGTTCACTGACTCTTTGCTTTAATTGATTTGCTAGTGATTTTATCATTGATCCCTTCTATCACATTTTTCATTCTATTTATTGTAGTTTTCAGCTCCAGGATATTTATTTTTTTAAATATTTTTTCTTTAGTTGTAGATGGACACAATGACTTTATTTTATTTATTTATTTTTATGTGGTACCAAGGATTGAACCCAGTGCCTCAGATGTGCTAGGCAAGCTAGGCAAGCGCTCTACCACAAAGCCACAACCCCAGCTCTTTTTTTTTTAATATTTCAACATATTTATTAAGTTTCTCTGATAAATTACTGAATTGTTTCTTTGTATTTTCTTGAAGTTGGCTGAGTTTTCTTACAATATCTATTTTAGTTTTATCTAAGAGATCATACATAGTCACTGGGGTGGTTTCTGGTGCCTTATTTTGTTCATTGTATGTGTTTGTGGGGGGTCAAGGTTCCTTGAAAGTTTTTGATGTATACAGCACTATCTCTGTATTGAAAGTTCAGATATTTAGTCTAATCTTTGTAATTGGTCTGTGTTTGTATACCTCCTTCTAGACTATCTAAGCAGGCTCTATGTTATTTTTTACTGAGATTGTGGTTACTACCATTGTTTTAGCACTAGAGGGCATATGAAGCACAAGTTTGTTCCAGATTCACAATGGGTGTGTTGTTTAAGGGTGAACTAGGGGAGTACTTTTTAAAAAGGTAGTCCATCCCTGCTGGTCCTGAAAGTCTCCATTTGGGATCAGGGTGGTCTCAGATGTACACCAAATTGTTGGACCATGGTTGGGCACAGGGCCTCACCATGTCTGTCCTTTAACCCTGAAGCCACAACTTAACCCACTTTCCTCTTCTTCGGTCCAAACAGTGACTGTGTTGTGCTGCCTGGGGATAGGTCAAGGACAGGGAGGCAATCTTGTAGTTATCGTGGCTACTGTGAGGTTGGATCTCATCCAGAGTTCATAGCTCATTAAGACAGGTGCATCCTATATGCAGGACGAAGTCCCACAGTGCTGTGGCCTGCTAGGTGCTGTGGTCTGTGGTCCAATACCACCATAGTGGATTGGATGTTTTATGGTCCAGAATTAGGCTGTGCCACTCAGTCTACAGTTCTACCTGGAAATGGAGTAGATTTAGAGTTTCTATTTGTGGACTTTGCCTGGAAATAGAGGCTATTGAATTCTTTCTAGTGTTGAGTTTCACCATGCAGACCCACTACTGAGTTCTAAGACATAGTCCTATACTTATTTCCCTGTCCTACCCTYTAGCAGATGAAGTCTGTCTCTATCCTCTATTGCTTGAGGTTGAGGTATGTGCCTGAACACAACTCTGTTTGCAGGTTTCTTCCTGACTCCAAGGCAGTCCAGAAGCTCCATCCACAGGCACTGGTCTAGGACTAGGGGCAATGGGGCACTGCTTACCCCTGGATTTCAGATCATGGTCCAGACACTAGTCTAAGCACTTCAGAGAGAGAGAGAGAGAGAGAGAGAGAGAGAATTTTTAATTAATCATCATAATTATCATCATAATAATCCTATTTATAGATGAAGAAACAGACATGATTCTTAAGTAGAATTAAGAATTGAGGCAATGTGAACTTTATTTATATTGATGTGTATAACGTATGAATTTATTTTGAGGGTCATAAATTATGCACTTATGAATACAAATCAATAGAAATCAAGTCAAAGAATATACATGAGCAATTTACAGAAAAGGAAATGTAAAATATTAATATAATATTCAGTCTCTTTAATTGGGAAATGAAACTTAGGAGAAATGCCATCTCGTTTTCATTAAGTTGACATAAATTAATAAGTCTGATGCCAAGTATTGGTGACAAAGTAAGGCAACAGGAATTGTCACACATTGCTAATGTGAGTAAAAATTTCTATAGTTACTTTGAAGAGTAATTTGGGAATTCCTTAGAAAAGCTCATATGTGCAAGTGATATATCCAATATAACAGTATTGTTTGCATTATAAAAAATTAGAAGCAATTCAGTGAAAAAGAGAAATTGGAAAACTGGCACTGTTCATACCCTAGAAAAACAACAACAATTTAAATGAGTCAACTGGAATTACCTGTATCATCATGAATAGATCTCAAAAATATTTGATAGTGATATGACAGAATCATAGAATATTTTTAAAGAAACTATCAAATAGTGTGTATAGTGATATCTTATGGTTTTCGTTTTAATTTTCCTAATGAAATGATCAATGCAGAACATCTTTTCATGTATATATTTGCCTTCCGTATTTACTCCTAGATGAAGTGTTCATTCTTATCTTTCATACAATTTGGGTTTTTTTGGGGGGGAGTAGAGTTCTATATTCTCGTTACACTTTATTAGCTATGTGATTGGAGATTTTTTTCTTTTCAGTTTGTAGCCTGTACATTTAATTTCTCAACAATATTTCAAAGGATAGAAATTTTTAACTTTGATAAAATCTAATTTTTCTGTTATGGGTGGTATTTTTTATATCATACATATTTATCTAAAGGTCATACAGATTACTTCTTAAGTTTTCTTTTAGTACTCTTAATTTGAGATTTTACATTTAGGTCAATAATCAGTTCATAGTTAACTTTTATACAAAATATACAATGTAGATTGCAGCTCAGTTTTATATATAGACTATCATGTTTCTGCACATAAGGACGATTTTACACTTTTCTGTTATAGATACTTTTATTTTGTTCTTTTGCCTTATTCCCTGGCCCAACTTGTATGATTTTGAATAGAGATGGGGAAAACAAATACTTTCCATTTTTCCTGTTCTTAAGAGTAAAGCATTTCGTCTTTCACTGTTATGTATGAAGTTAAGCATGGAGGTAGAAATACAAATGAGGAGTAAAAGTTGGGGTAGTTATTAAGAAGACCTTATATGAGGGTTCAGCATCCCTAATCTAAAAATACAAAAATCTGAAAGACTCCAGATCTGCAATTTTTGTGTACCAATGTGACACCACAGTGAAAAATTCCATACTTGTTTCGAGAGGACAGGTAGGTCTCAGTCAAAATGAAGGCACACTCATGAAAAAGAATGACTTCATGGGCTAGGGTTGTAGCTCAGTGGTAGAGTTCTTGCCTGGCACATGTGAGGCACTTGGTTCAATTCTCAGCACCATATTAATAAAGGTATTGTGTCCATCTACAACTAAAAAATATAAAAAAAAATGACTTCATGACTTTTGTTGGTAAAGGATCTGGAGATTGTCATGCTAAGTGAAATAAGCCAATCCCCAAAACTAAAGGCTGAATTTTCTCTCTGATAAGTGGATGCTAACACACAATAAGGGGTGTGGGGAGAAGAATAGAAGTTTATTAGATTAGATAAAGGGGAATGTAGGGAAGGGAGGGAGGATGGAAATAGGAAAGACAGTAGAATGAATAGGATATAACTTGGCTATGTTCATAAATGAATATGCAACCAGTATAATTTCACATCATGTACAACCATAAGAATGGGTTCCTAATTAGAATAAGTTACACTCCATATATGTATAATATGTCAAAACACAGTCTGTTGTCATATATATGACAACATATACACACATATACACACACACACATATATATAAAGAACAAATAAGAAATTTTTTTTAAAATGCAGGCACACTAAAAATATTCATGTTTAATCTTCTAGTTCTATTCCCAAGATGTGTATATCTGTGTCTTTCTCTCATGTATGTATGTGCCTGTCTGTGTGTCTCTTATACACACACACACACACACACTCACTCACTCTCACTTTTTTCCCCTAAAATCCAAAAAATTCCCAAATCCCAAATAGTTCTAGTTCAAGCATTTCAGAGAAGGGCTGCTTAGCTTGCAATAAGCATTACCCTGAGAGGTCACATGAAACAGCTTGACAAAGGTAGAAATGAATTTATAAATAATTTGAGAAAGCAGTTAAAAGAAGTTAAGAGTACTTTTCTATTTTTTAAAGGTTAGATTTCATTTTGTCAGAGTAACTACTAATTTTTTTTACTAGTTTATGAGCAGCATGAAAATGAAAAATTTCAGCTTACTGTATGTTAGCTGTGTTAAAAACACAATACTTTTCATGTTTTATTCTAACCTTAAAACTAGAAAGTGAGTACTATTAATATTATTCCCATCTTACAAATGAAAAAACTTAGAGTTGGTGAAGTTAAATTTTAAATTGAGGGTTAGTGAGGTTAAATTTTAAAGGTTCACTAAACCAGGAAATTATGGAATTATTTTATGCATATTTTATACTGCATATATTAATTTATTTTTCATAAATAAAAAATCCTTTTTGTTCTGAATGTTACTAAGTAGTCCTTGTTCAGTCAATGACTCTCAAACCTCTTTGACCTTGACCCATTATAACAAGAAATGCAGTTTACATGTTATCCCACTATATGTTTTTTTTATTTGTGTGCACACACACACACACATAAATGGTATAAGGTGTATATGCATGTATTTCTTAAAAGTACAATTGGATTTCACTAATACATTGCAATCCAAGTTCAAAAAACATTTCTCTGAGGCAGGAGAATTATAGATCAAGGGTACATTGCTATTGTGTGTGGACATTGGGAGGTGGAATATGAATCATACTGTGTCTTTGATAGTTAAGAAAAAATCACTAAAAAAAAGAGTTGGCTTTTTTAAAAGATAGACCTGAGGAGTAATTTTTGTTTTGTTTTGTTTAAAAGCTCTCTGACCCTTCTGATTTACCGAGGAATGCCTTTAGAATTTTTACCATTCTGGTGGAATTTTTATGTATCGAGCATATTGATTATGCTTTGGAAACAGGACTTGCTGGTGAGTATATTTGTATTAAACTTTCTGCTAAATTCCTTTAATCCTGCTTAAACTGTATATATAATGTTGTTTCATGTATAATCATCTCTGTACATTGAATTTGGTTAAGTGCAGTGAATTTTCAGCTTCTACAGTGCAAGGATTTGCCAAGTGCTGCAAACCATGCAAAGACATGGTTCTCTCATATTGTTTACATACAGTGAGGTAGGGTAATAGGCCACATAAGTCACTACAATGTATGGCAGAGTAGATTGCTTTGCTATATATTGTAAAATTTCAAGGAACAGAAACAAAAGAGAACCATTCTGACTGGGAAACTGGTGTAAGGTTTAGAAGGGAAAAATTTTWAAAAATAAGTCTGTAAGAGGATAGATTGACATTAACTTTTTTCTTTTACTTGTTAGTATAAATAGTGTAATAATGACTTCTTCCCTGGATTACAGCCACATTAATCTAGTTGCCCTCCTGACCTCACCATATTTTCAATGGTCATCTCAAATTTAGCATATCCACAACAAAACTCTTTATCTTTCTCCTAAACTTGTTCCTCTCACATGTCCTTAAAAGCATTGCTATTCACCTGTGGCTCAAGTCCCAAACCAAGGAGTTGCCCTAATTCTTCCTTTTTATCAACCCTGATAGTCAACCTATCAGCAAATCCTGTCAGTATCTTTCCAAAAAATAGTAAAAGTTCATTTACTTTTTTCTATCTCCACTGTTGCCACCCTAGTTCAACTTGTCATCACTGGTTTTCTGTGTTCACTCTTTCCTTTCCAAGTTACTGACTTTATATTATAGCCAGTTTAATTATCATTTCCTTGTTTAAGAAGCCTGACTTTTGATCTGCCTCTTATGTATTCATCCTTTCCACATACTGCATTTCCCCACACTATTCCAGACACTCTGGTCTTCATTCTTTTTCCTAAGTTAGGCTCTTTGCCTAAGTTAACATTTAAGGGATGGGAATGGGAAACTTGGTGTTTCCCATCGCAAAAAACTTTTTTCCTCAGCTCATCTCATGGCTGGCTCTTCAGCCATTTGATCTCAACTAAGATGTCACCTTCTCAGGTCTTTACTGATCACCCTAACTGAAGTAGTACTACTGTCTCGCTTATTGAATTGTCTCATGATTGAATTAACTGTATTTTAAACTGGGGATTGAACTCGGGGGCCATTGAGCTATACATTCCTATCCATTATTTTATTTTTTAAATTTTGAAACAGGGTCTCACTCAGTTGCCCAGGCTGTCCTCACACTTTGCAATTTTCCTGCCTCAGCCTCCCAAGTCATGGGATTGCAGGCAGGTACCACTACAACCAGATAGAATTAGCTTTTTAAAGTAACATTTATCACATTGAAATTTTTAAATGTTAGTGTTTGCCTCTACTTCAGAATTTATTCACTTAACACTTATATGACTACTGCCAGACCCATGGAGTTTATATTTTTGTGGAAAGATAGAAAAATGATTAGGAAGTACAATGAAGGAAAATGAAACTGAGTAAGAGAGATAGTAATGGAAAGGTAGAGTGAACAGTGTAATTTGAAGTTTTTTTTTTTTTCTGAAAGGGTGATTTAAAAAGGTATCTCTGAGAAGATGAGAGCTTAATGAAGTGATAGAGTATACTAATAAGATAGAACATTCTAGGTAGAGATAACATTAGGAACCTTTTATCTAGTGTTGTACCTTAGCATCCAGAAACTACATAGATGCTCAGAAAATCTGTATAGGCTGTATAAAATGAGATTCTGTAAAGTTTTAACTATGAACCAAATTAGCCATAATTCAGTCACTTTGGGTTCACTCTGCTTTATCATTTTCCATTTTTTTCATGTTGTTACTCTTATGATGTAAAAAAAGCATTTTTTATATTACAGCTTTATAGTTATACATAGTAGCTGTGTTCATCCTGACAAACTCATAAGTGCATGGAGTTTGATTTCAGTTCATGATCCCCCCTTATCCACCCCCCTTTTTCCTTCCCATCCTTTCTCCCTTGTCCCATATTCCTTCCTCTACTAGACTTCCTTTCACTTGTCTATTTATTTATCTTTGATTGGTTTTACCTATGTATAAAGGTGAAGTTCCCTGTAGTACATTTATATATGCACATAACATGATTTTTTTAAGAATTCATTCTGCATCACCTTCCTTTACCCACCCCTTCACTCTTCCTCTCAGTCACCTACTACATTACTGACCTTGCCTTTATCTTTGTTATCCTATCCTTTCTTATATATAAAAGCATTTTTTAACTTAATTATGATAGGCCTTTGGCATCAAATATTTAACCCTTGACACTTGCAAATGACTCAATAATTTTTGTTGGGATAATAATACCTCAAAGATGAAGAATAAAGAAAATAATGAAAAAAGTAACATGAATTTGAATCTGTCTTATATGAAGGATTTGTTATTCAGCAAGTATGGAAACCTGGCATCTTCATTTTAATGGCAATATTCTTTTTTTGGAATGGAAATTTTCTTGTAAAATGGGAAGATTCCTCATATGCATAAGTGTTTCTCATGCATCTAGTTAATACTCAACTGCTATTATTTCTAACGATTGCATAAAATTCTGTGGAGCACATATAAGGTTACTATATCTTATTTTGCATTGTTTCCATTTTGTAGTATAATAATGCTGAAATTAACCTTCCAGAGTTCATTTTCCTAATATTGAACTATTTTCTTTCATAAAACACAAACATGAAATTACTGGATCAAAACATGTTTTATTTATTCATTTTTCTAAATTTTGATACAAAATTTTTTACCTTTTAATTTTGATATAAACTGTTTTCCTGAAGATTTTTTTTCTTAACCAGTATATACTGCTACCAACCTATATGCATGTACCAGTTTTTCCATTCATTATTCAATATTTCTTAAAAGCTTCAATAATTTAGGGATTGGAAACATACATCAATATTGCCTTAATTTTCTTGTCTTATGATAAAGGATATTTCCTACTTCTGTTGTTGGTTTTTTTTTTTTTTTTTTTTTTTTGGCTCTTAAAAGTTTGTGTCGAAGCCTGTAGCTTTCTTAACATTTATTTTTTTTTTTTTTTTTTGGTCAGGGAGAAAAACACTTTTATTTTTCATTATTAAAACTGAAAAGATCATTGTCCTATAAAGACTTCTATATATTAAGCTTCATATTGTCAGCTATGGATATTTTTCTTAGTCTCTATTTTCTTTTTAAGTTTACTAGAAGAACAAACAATAGGGACCTTGAAATTCATCAGTTATTCTTTAAAGAAAGGAGGAAACTGAAATCCATAGAGGACAAGCTGACTTTTTTGTCTGCTGCTTTATCAGTGGACTGGCTTGATTATCATTCTGAATATTAGGAATTTGCTGAGATTGGAGGTTTTGAGTATTTTTGAGGAAATAGTAGAGAAAACGAGTCAAATGTTAATTTTAGGCACATTACTGACAGCATTATATAGGATAGACAATTAAAAAAAGAGGCTTGAACAAGAAAGATCAATAAAAAATGTATTTTAACTATTATCAGAGATAAAGAAACTTGGTTTTTTTTTTGTTTTTTGTTTTTTTTAATTATGGAAAGCTGGGTGCAGTGGTGCACATCTGTAATCCTAGCTGCTAAGGAAACGCATGATGCAAGTTCCAGGCAAACCTGGGCAACTTAGTAAGAGCCTGTCTCAAAATTAAAGGAAAAGAAAAAAGACTAGGGATGTGATAGCGTACTTGTCTAGCATGTACAAGGCTCTGGTTTCCATGCCCAGTATCACCAAAGAACAAAAAGAAAAGAAAATAGTGGGAATATATTCATATCACATGTGAATCATGGGGCACCAGAGAGCTAGGAAAAGAAAGGAGAAGGTAGAACTCAAGAAGAATTGGTAATTGATTTATTTTTAGGTTTATCTAAGCAAATCATGAATATGATAGTCATTTGGGCATAAAATTTAACTTTGGGTGAATTTTAAGCTATTAACAAGCTTAGTTTTCCTTTGTCTGTAAAAGTCATTGCCAGTTTATTAAAATAACAGTTACTTTTATTCATATTGTATATATAAAACCACATCTTTTTTCTGTTGCTAAGATGAATTTTTTTAAAGATAATTTTCATTTATCTGTGTTTTTCAATTTTAGGAATTCCATCCTCAGATTCTAGGAATGCAAATCTCTATTTTTTGGATGTTGTGCAACAGGCCAATACTATTTTCCATCTTTTTGACAAGCAGTTTAATGATCACCTTATGCCACTAATAAGGTAAGTTATGTTGTCATATTTTTATTGGTATTTCAAAGGATATTTAGAATAGTTTTATTAAATTTTAAAAATACATATTCATGAAAGCATCAAATAGGATGGAGGTGTGAAATGAAAAGATCTTTTCCTTCTTCCTTGCATTCTTGTTTTCTGTTTCTACTGTGCTATTAAGTTTTGTTGCATTTGAAAAGACTTAATGTGTCCTAAATCTAAAATTGAAATCTAATGTTAAAGAAGCCCTACAGCTTAATGCAACTCAGCATATTTACTCCTTCCAAGGGTCTAATAGACACAATCCACCTGTAGCTGCTTGTTATTAAAGATGCACAAAAAAATTTATGAGATTAATAGGAAAAATTTTGATGAGACACTAATATCTGGTTTATATCTTTATATCAATTTTATGAACTTTTAAAGAATATGAGAAATAAGAAATATGTATTATGTGAATATGTTTTACCGATTTTTATGTAGTACCATTATTGACAAGAGAAACTATTCTTATAAAAGAAAAATTTTAGATATGTTGTTGTAAACATTGATATACCAAGACTGCCTCAGAAACAATTTCAAGAGTGAAGTCACTTGTGATCCATGAATCATACTTTGAAGGGAATTTGCTTTTTAAAGAGCTGTTGCCACATAGCAAAAAACTCACATGGTGTTTGGGTTGCTTATTCTTTAATATTTCAGGTGTTTTTAATATTTTGGCAGCATTCAGAAGGCAAATATAATTATTGTTGCTTATTTTACTTTAGGGACAATAAGTACAACGGTTCCTCTCCAAATTATTGTTAATGATTTACTATATTCTTAAGAGTCTGGTGATACCTTGTGAATTTTCTGAGTGTTTTACCAACTATTTACTTATAAATTAAACCATATAGTTCCAAAATTAAACATGTTTGTATTCTTAAGGGCTGTTTCCTCAGAGATGAGAATAGCAAATTTAACTCTTCTTCCTTTCCTTTTAGTGGATAATTGTTTTCTTGTGTGACTACTGTAATAAACTGGGCATATGAACGTAAATAATTATTTTGTACTTCTTGGATTTATGATCATGTCTGTTGGTATCGTATACATATGAATATGAAAAACTTAGAAATTAGGCTATTRATGCATTTTTTTCCTCCTTTAAATCTACAATAGCTCTTCTCCTAAGTTATCTGAATGCCTTCAGAAGAAAAAAGAAATAATTGAGCAAATGGAGATGAAATTGGATACTGGCATTGATAGGCAAGTTGCTGTTTTTCTTTGAAATTTTTAAAAATTATATAAATATTATGGCAGCAAAAAAAAATTTTAGAGAAACTTATTTGAATTCCACCGTCTTGCTGTAACATTTGATGTTATTTTTGTGAACAACTTTTAACCTTATTAGAATGTTAATTGAATCCCCAAGTTATTTTATTTCTGAAAGTAAGTATAATTAGATATACTTTTAAACTAKATTCCATTAAAAACCATTTTTTGTAAGCACCCCATCTCCACTCTAGATATTCACAAACTACAAAATCCATTAAAAATGGTGTGTAATATATAGTATTATATTTATTTAGAACTTCCAGGCTTATGTATGAAATCTTTTAAATAAATACAGTAATTTTCTAAAAGTACTTCTAATATTTGTTGAAGATAATTACCTGCTCATAGTACAGAGCCCAAGGGGTCTGTCTGGGTTTTTTTCTTTTCAATTCCCTATATTTTTTATTGGTACATTAGTCTATCTGTTTTGGGGATGATGATGTTCATATATTTATTGATGATGATAGTATCTACCGATTATCAAGCATTTGCTATATACCAAGCACAATATAAGGGCCTTTACCTATATTATTTCATGTATTGGGTAGGAACTACTATTTCCATTTTACAGATGAGGAAATGGAGACTTTAATAAATTTGCTCAAAACCACACAGATAATGATGGTAGAGCTGGAACTCTTTAAAACCCATKGTACTAAGATTTGGGTATAGATTTGTATTTCTGTAATTCTACTTTCTCTTGTTCAGTAAAGCATATTTGAATGTAGATTTTTAATAGCCTTATTTAAAAGATAACTGAGAATCTAACTTATGCAAATATTGAACATTTTTACTTTATGTGTAATAAGAAGTTACTTGCAACTYACCTTGCAATTCACTTGCAATTGACCTTGACACTAAGACTGAGAACTGTTGACTATATGGTATGTGCTAATAAAGGTGAAGAAAAAATAGAATAAAAAGTTGGAAAAAGAAAGGGTGTTATAAAATCATTCAGAGTAGTTTACTGAAGAATAGGTTTAAAAGAATCTTGAAAATTTGTCTTACTGTTTTCCCCAGCTTTACTGAAGTTTAATTGACAGATAAAATTTGTTTACATGTAAAGTGTATAATAAGTTTTGACATATTTGTACTTTGTAAAATGATTACCACAGGGGTTGGGGTTGTGGCTTAGTGATAGAGCTGAGGCACTGGATTCAATCCTCGGCACCACATAAAAATACATAAAATAAARGTATTGTGTCCACTACAACTAAAAAAAACCATTTTTTWAAAAAAATGATTATCACAAGAAAGCTAATTAAACATTTCCATCAGTACATGGTTACCATTTTTTTTCTTGTGATGAAAAGGCATATGATCTACTCTTTCAGCAAAGTATGAAAATAGTATTATTAGTTATAGTCACCATACTGTACTTTAGATCTCCAGAACGTATTAAATTCTGCCCAACTGAAACTTTGTACTCTGACTCCTTATTTCCTCTACCACTCTCTCCCTCACAGTTCTTGGCATCTACCATTCTACTCTGTACTTCTATGGGTTTGATTTTTTTTTTAATTCCACATATGAGATCATGTAGTATTTGTCATTGTGTATTTGACTTATTTTATTTAGTTTAATGTCCTCCAGGTTCATCCATGTTGTCACAAATGGCAGGATTTCTTTATTTTTTATGGCTCATTAGTACTCTGTGTATAAGTATACACATTTTCTTTGTTCATTCATTTTTCACTGGAAATTTAGGTCGTTTCCGTATTTTACCTATTGGGAATAATGCTACAGTTAACCTGGGAGAGCACATATGTCTTCAAGATATTAATTTCATTTCTGTTGAATATATACCCAGTAGTGAGTTTGCTGGATAATAAAGTAGTTCTACTTTTAATTTTTTGAGGAATTGCCATACTATTTTTCCATGATGGCTGTATCAGTTTACATTCCCACTTTAGCATGCAGAAGTTTCATTTTCTCCACATCCTAGCCAACACTTAGCATCTCTTGTCTAAGCCATCCTGGCATGTATAAAGTGATATCTCATTGTGTTTTTTATTTTAATTTTTCTGATGACTAGTAATGTTGAGACATTTTGTATATCTCTTGGCCATTTGTATGTCTTCTTTTGAAAAATATTTATTCAGGTTCTTTGCCCTTTTAAAATTTGTGTTATTTGATTTTTTTCTCCTATTGAGTTGTTTGAATTCTTTATATAATATATTCTGGATACCTTTACGAGATATATGTCTTTGAATATATTTTCCCCTATCTGTAGGTTGTGTCTTCACTATGTTAGTTATTTTCTTTGCTAAAAAGAAGCTCTTTAGTTTGATGCACTCTTACTTATATAGTTTTGCTTTATTGTCTGTGTTTCTGGTGGCCTATCAAAAAAMCATTGCTAGAACCAATGTCAAGGAGTTTTTGCCTATGTTTTTTTCTGGTAGTTTTACATCTTAAGGTCTTATGTTAAAGTCTCCATTTTGAATTGATTTTGTGTATATGGGAAGATAAAGTTCCAGTTTTATTCTTCTGTATGTGGACAACCAATTTTTACAGCACCATAAAACAAAGAGGCTGTTCTTTCCCTGTTGTACATCTTTGGCACCCTTATCTCAAAGATGAGTTGAATTCAGGAAGTGTGATGTCTCTAGTTTTCTTCTTCTTGCTCAAGATGGCTTTGGCTATTCAGGATTTTTGTGATTCCATATGAATTTTTGAGTTGTTTTTTTTTTTGTTGTTGTTGTTGTTGTTGTTTCTGAAAAGTGTCACTGGAATTTTGATAGGAAATATATTGAACCTATATATCAGTTTGGACAGTATAGACATTTTAATGATATTAATTCTTACAAGCCATGAACATGAGATGTGTTTTCATTTATTTATCTATTTTTCTTTCAGGAAAGTTTTCCTAGTACAAGTCTTTTACTTCTGTAGTTAACTTAATTCCTGAGTATTTTATTCTTTTTAATACTATTATAAATGGGATTGTTTCCTTAATTTCCTTTTTGGATAATTCATTAATACTGTATAGAAACACAACTGATTTTTGTATATTGACTTTGCATCTTGTAACTTTACTGAATTCAGGTTCTGGCAGTTTTTTGATGGAGTCTTTAGGGTTTTCTCTGTATAGTAACATGTCACTGAAGAGGCAATTTCACTTCTCCCTTTCCAGTTTAGGTGTCTTTTATTTCTTTTTCTAGCCTAAATTGCTTAGGCTAGGACTTCCACTACTACAGTGAATAGAAATGGTAAAAGTGGATATCCTTGTCTTTTTTTCTGATCTCAGGGGAAAAGCTGGATTTTCACTGYTAACAATTATATTGTCTATGGGTTCATCTATCATATATGTCTTATATTATGTTGAGGTATATTCATTCTATACTTAAGTTTGTTAAGAATTTTTGTCATGAAATGATGTTGAATTTTGCCAACTGCTTTTCTTATCTTTTCAAAATATGATAATGTCATTCTTCATTCTGTTTATTTGGTATATCATGGCTATTGATTTGCTTATATATATTGACTCATTCTTGCATCCCAGGGATAAATCCTGCTTGATCATGGTGTATGGTTCTTTCAGCATGGTATATGATTCTTTCAGTGTGCTTTTGAATTCAGTTTGCTAGGCTTTTTTTTTTTTAAGCAAAGTTCATCAAGGATATTGGCCTGTAATTTTCCTCTAGTGTCTTTGTCTAGCTTCAGTATCAGAGTTTGCTGGCCTTGTAAAATGAGCTTGGAAGTGTTTACTGCTCCCATTTTTTTTGGAAGAGTTTGAGAAGGATTGGTGTTAATTCTTTAAACGGTTGGTAACATTCACCAGTGAAGCCATCTGGTCATGGGCTTATCTTTGTTGAGAGGTCTTTGACTGCCAGTTTAATCTCCTTTTTCATTACTGTCTGTTCAGATTTTCTAATTTCTTCATCATTTGTTTTTAGTAGGTTACATGTTTCTACAAATTTACCTATTTCTTTAATTTGTTAGTATATAATAATCTTTTGTTTCTAGTCAAGATCACATCAGATTATACATAAATAGAACTTCATTCACTATCATTATAATATGTATACATATATATTATAGATGTTACAAACATTACTTTTGACAAGTATGTATTTTCCTAACCTAAACCCTTTATGTTAATTTGTTTCTGCTTGCTTTGCCTCAGAATACCTAAAAAGAAAAAAAAAATCACTTTTGGAAAGTGGGGAGGTTAGATATATGCTAAGTTTTGTTTCTGCTTGCTTTTTCTCAGAATACCTAAAAAGAAAAAAAAAATCACTTTTGGAAAGTGGGGAGGTTAGATATATGCTAAGTTTTCAAAAGTGTATGAAATATATATTTCCTGTCTTATCAATACATGAAATATTCTCTTTTGTCTTTCCATATAAGTCATAATCTTGGTGTTTTTATTACTTAATACATTAAAGGCATAGTGGTCTGTGAAGGTCTCTCAAGTGTGACCCTAAATATAGGCTTAGCGTTCCCTTGAATTCCTAATGATAATTTTAAAGCAGTATCTATCCATTAGGCCTAAATGAACGTATCTTGCCTTTGAAGCTCATATCTTTCCTTTCTTGTTGCTTCATTTTTCAGTCTTTTATTTCAATGCTGTACATTTACTGAGAATTTGGGGCATCTGTCTCATAATTTTTCTTTTTACCTTAAATCAGGTTCTTTTTATGTCTCTGTGTGTAAACCATTCATCTTATCAATCATCTTCACTTAAACATCTACTCATATACCTCACAGGATTGTTATCATTAGTAATAAAAACCTTAAACCCAAATGCCCTACTCTACACCTACTTTTTTTTTTTTTTAATACCAACTTCAAACCTCCCATTTTACCAACATCTTAATTCTCCTCATGCCTGTTTTCTGACCTCAGCAGGACCTCTGTCCTTTAATCTTTTCATTTTGGGTCATTCTGTTATCCTTTTCCTAACTTTACTTCATTCATTATTGTGCCCAAATCATATGGTCCATCTCTTAAATTACTGCCTTATATTTACTCTAAATCTACTTCCTTCAACCATGACTGTCACACAGACCCTAAATTCTGGATCATTCTGGTCTCTTTTATTCCTATAATTGGATGGCTATTTGCTGTTGGAGAATATCACATAATTAATATGTCACTAGTACTGTTAGAAATTCATGCCCTCGTTTCTCAGTTGGACCTTTAGTAGAATTTCTTCATCTTCCTGATTATCCCTAGATTATGAGACTCATGTTCTCCACTTGCTCTCCAAAACCTTAGTCATTCCTAAACTGATCTTTCCACTTTATTAAACATTCTCTCTGTCTCATTTTGCCTTTGAAGATCTCTAGTAGTGAGGAAATAAGTCAGCGACAGATTTCTAAGGTCTTAAAGACTTCCTTAAATAAAGCATTCGACAAAGAATTTTTTTCTCTGTTTGGGGCAGGGAGTCAGTAAAATAATGAGCTTTTTGATATCAAGACCTAGATTGACTTTTTTAAAAATCTAAACTTTACCAATTACAAAATAGTTTTATGGTGATATGAAAAAATTTAGTACAGATAACATAAATAAAAGTCAATATTGAATAAATTAAATGGATCAAATATGTTGTGTTTTCAATTCTCTAGGACATTAAATTGTATGATTGGACAAATGAAGCATATCTTGGCTGCAGAACAAAAGAAAACAGATTTTAAACCAGAAGATGAAAACAATGTTTTGATACAGTATACTAATGTGAGTAGAACTGTTCAATTTGTTAATAAAAAGTATCTGTTTTGTTAATTATTTAACATTTTTATCAGTGTGTCTTACTACACCTAAAGTTTTTTTTCTTTTATACTTAGAAATTAATGAAAAACAATGTGTATTTTCTCCTTAATTAAACTGATGCACATAAACTACATAATAAGTTTAGTAAAACTTTTACAGGCCTGTGTAAAAGTCTGTACGTATGTAAGAAAACAAGTGGAGAAGATTAAAAATTCCATGGATGGGAAAAATGTGGATACAGTTTTAATGGAACTCGGTGTACGTTTTCATCGACTTATTTATGAGCATCTTCAACAATATTCCTACAGTTGTATGGGTGGCATGTTAGCAATTTGTGATGTAGCTGAATATAGAAAGTGTGCCAAAGACTTCAAGGTATGTATACACAAATACCAAACTTGTAAATGAGGTTAGGAACATAAGTCAGGCCATTTAAATCTTATTGTGGGCTGGGGATGTGGCTCAAGCAGTAGCGCGCTCGCCTGGCATGCGTGTGGCCTGGGTTCGATCCTCAGCACCACATACCAACAAAGATGTTGTGTCCGCCGAAAACTAAAAAAAATAAATATTAAAAAAAATTCTCCCCAAAAAAAAAATAAATAAATAAATCTTATTGTAATGATTATTAAGAAATTTATAATATTTGTTGAATTGTAATGAGATGAGATCYATCACTTTCTGCCTGAAAATAGTTCCAATCGTATTTGCAATGTTAATATTTTTTTGTGTGTTTTATTTTAGACAATGTCATATTTCAGTTGCATAGTTCAAATGGTCTTATTGACAGCCATGACTACTGCTGTGTCTGGTACATATCAAGAAAATAATATATTTTATTTTCATGTATGTCTCTCTCAGATCATTTTTCCCTAAATTTTAAAAATTTAAATTATTTTTAAAAGTGCTATATTATTGATAACTAGTTGTAGTCTATCAAATTACATAATATGAGAAAACTGATATAAATCCTTTCACAAGTTTGTAGAGCTTTTGTAACTTCTGAAATATTTTTACTCTTTAGGAGGCTTAAAAAATCTAATATTTTGAACTTCCATAATCCTAAGTCCTGACAAAACTGTATATAAGAAGAATTTGCAAAACTCATTATAAAATGGGAAATTGTTTTGTCACTGTTATTTTTTTCCTTCTCTCAATTCAGATTCCAATGGTATTACATCTTTTTGATACTCTGCATGCACTTTGCAATCTTCTGGTAGTTGCCCCAGATAATTTAAAGCAAGTCTGCTCAGGAGAACAACTTGCTAATCTGGACAAGAACATACTTCACTCCTTCGTACAACTTCGTGCTGACTATAGATCTGCCCGCCTTGCTCGACACTTCAGCTGAGGTTAAATTCACAAACAAAGTGTGTTGTACTTCATCAGGCCTCGGTTGATAGAAAGCACAGGAGATTCCTTATGACACAGCCAACATTTTATGGAAAAAATGACTGGAAGAAAACAGCAGCCATACTGACCTTTGAAGTTTTATTTGAAATTTGGACACCCCTAGCTGTATTTTGCTTTTTTTCTTGTTAAGTTGAATTTTAATTCCATTCTTTATTTTATAACTTTCAAATTCTGTAAAACTATGTCACTATTTTCATCCTAGAAAATGTTGGTGTCAGAAGGCAAACAAAATTTACCAGTGTTCCTGTTCGGGTTCTTTAACATATTCCATCTTGAAAATTTACCATCCCATTTTTCATTAAGAATGGGTGAAATACAACAAAATCACATTTATTTATTCACCAATTTTTATTGGCCTTTTCAGCACTGGCAATTGTTAATCAAATTATTTTAGGTTTTCCTAAAGAATCTTTTGCCTTTTTTGAAAGTTTAATAATTAAGCATAATTTCTGTAGTTGGTTGATTGGAGTGTTTTCTAAGATACAGCATCAGTACTATTCCAAGAAAAATGTTATAAACTAAACTAAAATGATGAAATGTTTTATGTAGACCTAGTGGATCAGAATACATCTGCTTTCTGGGTAAAAGTAAAGTTTACTATTTCTTATTTGGTAAATAAATCTTAAGCCAATTCTAGCAAGAAATTAATAAAACTACCTTATTTTATATTTCACTTAAGGTTGAAGACCTTAACTAAAGGACCATATTTATTCATTATTTTAATATTATAATGGAAGTAAAAAAGTGAGATGTAGTGAAAATGGTGCATATGAGAAATATTGACAATGTTTAGCGAACACTGCAATCCTTTAAGATTTCTCTCTAATGCTAAACTTGAATAAGATGGGATAAACATGCAAGTAGTCTACTTTAAGAGGAATTGGGAGTTGATAGATAACATTATATACTGTAAGTCTGGAGACAACCTTTACAAATACTGTTTACTTTTCAGGTCTCTAGGTTTTTTCATTGTCCTTTTTCAAGGCATTTCTGAAGTTATTCCTACTTAGATATGATTACTCAAATTGGCTTAATATGGTGACATAATAAATCACAAAATTTTAAAGATCAAGCATAAATTTAGACCATTACTTTATAAGCCTTAAAACTTGCTCTGTGAGAATGCATTCTAATTATATGTAGTGYTTCAGCTTCCATTCTGTTGTTTATACTCTTCTAGAAATCATATAAATTTTAATGTTCAATTCGTTCTTAACATTTTTTTTTCTTTCATATAGGCTTTTTGGCCTAATTTTGTAAAACTGCTTTTCTTCTAAGAACCTAATTTTGAATGGTCAACTTTACCAAACCTCCCAGGCCCAGAGCTAACTACTATTTAAGTTACTATTGACTGAATTTTCTTCATTTTCTGTTTAGCCCAGTGTTATCAAGGTAAGCAAGGAAAATGCGGTATGCCAACTTTCATTAAAGCATTTTAGGACATTGTGGTAACTTTAAAAGGCTTTCCAGATTTCTATTCCTTAGCCAAGGGAGAGCCAAAAGAGGTTTTGGATACCAGAAAAAGTCATATGCTTGTACTATTGCCATTTTAGAAAGCTCTGATGTGAGTTCCAATTATACCTCTGTTACTTAAAGCCAACTTTTAAGGCAGTAGTTTTACTGGCCATTTGAACTCTTTGTACAGTGTCAATTTGTAAAAAAAGAAAAAAGAAAAGAAAAAAAATCTCAAATAAAACACGAGATAAACTTTAAGACTTCCGAGTCAGAAGCACTTCAGATTATTTTGTTTGAATTAATTTTTAAAATGTAAAGCATATACTTGTTGCTTAGATATTTTGTTAATTATCATTTCCTTGCTTGAGTTCTGTGCAATATTTTCCATTATGTCCATTGAGAGGACAGTGACAAAACTCATGAGTGAATACTTAATTTAGAAGTGTTAACATTAATGCTCAATAAACAAATTCCCTGTGATTGTTTATTTCATTTCACTATATATTTTAAGGACATCCATACTGAATTTGATAAATTATTTTTTAATTTAAAATTTTAAGGTATACCTTATTTTTCATAGCTTAGGTCTTCTCATCCCCCCTCTTTTTTTTTTTCTTAAAGCAGAAAAGTACTTGATTATATAACCAAGATTAGAAATTTAGCCTAAACATAAGGTCTTTCTCTAAGAAGAAGAAGAAGAAAAAAAGATTTTGTGTGAAGCAGTGTGTGTTCCTTGTGTTCTGATCTTTAAAGTATTTTCATGTATAATGTTCACCAAAATAATCATAGTCCAAAATTTATGACTCAGAAGAAATGATTAATAAATAAAATGTTTTTATATACACACAGTAAAATTTTAGGTAGAGATAATTAAACTTAATAACTTTTACCAACACTTGAATGAGGGGAATCCTGCAGTATTCCAGTTTCCACAAAATTAAGGAAGAAGTAGGAAGTCTAGCCTCTGTAAAATTATGATATTGCAAATGACAGTCAACTAGAGTAGATAGAGAGTCCTTATGAAGAATTACAACAGCTAGATGAATTTTTTTTTCTATTTTTTTGTGGGAGGAGGGTACTGGAGATTGAACTCGGGGGCACTCAACCACTGAGCCACATCCTCAGCCCTTTTTTGTATTTTATTTAGAGACAGGGTTTCACCGAGTTGCTTAGTGCCTCACTGTTGATGAGCTGCTTTGAACTCTTGGTCCTCCTGCTTCAGCCTTCCAAGCTGGCAACTAGATGGATCTTTAGTGACCGTTTGGCCATTCCAAGACAATTATTGGTCTCATTTTGAGAATCATCATGATTACAATTCCTTATGATCTTCTTTGTTGTAAAAAAAAAAAAAAAAAAGCTGCTAAAGTAGGTTAATTTAAAGATTGAGTAAAATTTTAATTTAAAGCAGATTAATTTATATTTTGAATCATTTTTCTTCTTTCACTTCTAAATATTTTACTTTTTGATTACTAGCCTTTTGGCTCACAGTGAAACAATTTTAATTAACAACCAGTAGATTGATTCCAATTGGAGAATTTACTGATTCCTTATGATGCATTTCTCTCACCTGTGAGAGTGAATATTTTTATCCAGATAAAGTGATATTGCTTCCTGTAATGTCACAAAATCCTTAAAACAAATAAGGCATGCCTAGTGGAACTGTATATTGGACACAGCAAGGTTCACTCAGGGCATATTTTTTTTGGTGACTATATAGAAGCTCACATCTGGAGATTAACATGTTTTTAAGGCAAAAGTATTCTGTCATTGCCCACAGTATATTTATTTTCCAGAAGCATACTGAATTCTGATTTCTAATGGAGAATTTGACATACACAAAGAAAGCAGTTGATGCTTTCATACAATTAGATTAACTATTTTCAGTTCCTGTACTATTTCTCTCTCTTTGAGAAGGCTTATCTGTGATACATTGTCTATTTTGGAAGAAAAGACCAGTCCATATTGTTAGACTAAATAATTCTACATGAAGTGAATGTAGCAATTTAAAAATTTTTAATGCATAATGAAGATATTTATTGCTACGTTTATTGGACTTAAGTCCTATGCACAATGCTATATCTTTTGTATATATTTGATTCCAAAATAACCCTAGGATTTGGGTACTGTTTCCATTTGGTAGGTGAAAAACTTGAGGCATAAAAACTATCAAGGTCTAAGACTGTTAAAAGGCTCAGATTTAAATCTTAAGTCTTTTTTACTGTTAGGTTCTATGTATTATTTTTCTTATGGAATATTAAATAAGTGCTTTAATATGGGATTTATTAATGATGATTTTTGCTTAATCTGATTTTCTCTTCATCCAGTATTTGACTCTCATTCTGAAGTATAGATTATGAAATTGAATCCAAGATCAGTATCTAAATTACTACTGAGTTTTGTTTTTTAAAGAATTTAACCTTTATTTTATTTATTTGTATGTGGTGTTGAGGTTCAAACTCAGTGCCTCAGACATGCTAGGCAAGTGCTCTACCATGAGCTACAACCCCAGCCCACTACTGGTTTTTTTTTTTATATGTTCAACATGTGGTCATACTTTTTCAATGAGTTTTTTAAAGTAGTCATGAAATTAATATAATCTTAAGTTTTTACCTAACAGAAATCTGTCTATCCCAACGTTTTCCTTAGTATTATTTTTTATAACCATGACAGTGTTTTTGCTTAGTAATTTCTATAATATATAGAGTCCAAGTATTTTGTACCATTTTTTGAAACATGAGAGAAAATAACAGCTTTTCTTGAAAGATAAGAGGAAGTCAGTATTCTATGTTTAAAAGCAGGCTATTTTGAATGTCATAAGCTTGCTATTTCTCTTAGCTGTTTAGTGCACTGGTAGTTTTTTAATGGTTAATGTAGGTCAAAAAATATTTAGTGTTTTAGCAATCAGAAGTCATTTTTAGGTAATCAAGATTATTATATGTTAAGTTTTTTAAAAATTGCTTTAACTCTACCCTTTGTTGCTACTATAATTTCTCTTTCTAAATTTAGAGAGGAAATAACTTTTCAAGTATGTATAAGACAGAAACTTGACACATTAGAGGTTAAGAATTTTAATTGGTGAATTGGAGTAGTTAGGCTGATAACCCTGGGCTTAACAAAACTAATTTTTAAACTAGGCTCTGTATATTTTATCATTATTATTTGGTGGGTACCAGGAAACTTAAGTTCTTATGATTAGATATCTTTTGGGGGGGTAGGAAGGAGACAAGTAATTAAATACCACCTTATTTGTTTTCTAAGTGGTTTTAGAGGGTTGCACTCTGCATCACCATTCAAAGCCAATTTAAATAGGAATATATCACATCATACTCCAAATAGCAAACAACCTCAGGAAAGTCATTTATTCAGATGGCATAGATTTGCGCTAGACAGCAGTGATGCATTACAAATATATAATTATTTGCACTAATATTTGAGCAGGTGGAATGGATTAGAACATGGTCAACATTATGCTGCTGATAACATGTATTTTTCTATATTAATATGTACTGTGCAACATGTATTAAAATCGTCAATAATTCATTTTAGCCAAGATACTAATATTTATATTACTGTGTTTAAGAGACAGTATCCAACTGAGCCACTTTTAATTTAAAAGTCTGAAAATGGAATTAAGTTTACTTTCAAAAACCACTTACATTATTTTATACTCACTGAAAGGTCAGTGAAACATGGAATTATCATTGCCTGGTGACTTAATAGGAAGAAATATGGAAGGTTAAGAATGGGAATAGGAACCTGGAATGAGGAAGCTACGTTGAATTCATAACTCAGATGAGTGACTTCCTTTGTTTTCACCACTGGAAATCTCAAATGAAAAAAATGTTCTTCCCAGTATATCTTTATATTAATAAGCTAAGTGAAAATTGGATAGAACCAGCTCAAAGAAATTAATTTCTGAAGGTGGACTTTCAGATTTTTAAAATAAACTTTAAGAGGTAGGGAACCTTAATTATGTCCCTATAATCTCATATAGGTAGATGTCTTTAAATGAGGACATCTCTTCTTGTCTACATGTCATGTTAATCTTTATACTGTGGGTTACATTGA